CATGGGGTTTGGGCACAGAAAAGGAATTTGTTCTTGGTATAATTTTCTCTGAATACTTTTCTGACTGAGACTTTATCCTACAGCTTTCTGAAAGACATAAAAATATGTTTAGGGCCACATTTAAAATATGTTTATGACCACTATTGAGTGAAGGTTTTGAATGGGAGGAAGAAGAGTTTGTGCTTTATCTCTAAGTGATAGAGGTATGAACCATACTCTGTTTTTGGTGTGAAAGCCTCAAACATTGGAAAATGCCCATTACTGGTAGTTTTATTTTTTGGTAGCCCCTTGACCCATTGTTTTTAAGAATATGTATTTCCTGAATTTAAAAGATTGTACCCTCTCTTGAAAGGCTCCTGGTACACATGTATTTGATTTCTTCCACCAGCTTGCATTAAACCAGGAAAGATGCCATCACCATGTAATCATTGTGTGAGGTCATGTATGTTTAAAATATTTTACTGAGCATTTATCACCACTGAGCTGAACTTGAACTGCTAAAGAACTGTGAAAAAATAAGTCTCTCCCTCTACTTAAGTGTGAGCCAGAACATGACTTATTGAAGCCATTCACTATGGTTGGTATGCATAAGTAAGGTCAGAAGTGACAAATTCTCTTTCTCTTTCAAAGATGTCTCAGTTAGAGTTCATTCTTAATGCCAGGACTTTCTTTAGGGCATCTTTCATGTCTTTGTTTCGGAGACTATAGATAAGGGGGTTTAGGAGTGGCGTCACTGCTGAGTATACCAACGTGATGACCTTCTGCACTCCTGCCGNACTCTAGGCCAAATGTGGGTATTCTGTATATGCTCTATTATTGGTGGGAATTCAGTTTGCTCCTGTAGAGCCCATTGCTTTCTGCTCTGTGCTCAGAGCCAACTCTTCTACAGTGTTTATGTTTTTTCCCAGGTGTGAATCAGGGACAATGCAGGTGTCCTCCAAACTCCAGGGGACAAGGTCAAGCCCTCTGCGTGGTTCTCTTGATGTGATCCTCATTTCCCTTCTGGGGATTACATACTAAGAACTCACTGAAGATATTTTTACTCATGGCTTCAATCAGACTTCCAGCCTCCCCTTGTATACTGTTGATGAGGATAATGAGCTAAGGATTGTGAAACTGGCTTTATAGTCTCAATGGAGCCAACACTGATGTGTGGGCTTTCTGCCAAAAATTCAGAACAGCAGGCATTTTTATTTGTTATATGTGTTTTTAATGAAGTGTTAGACTGTCATGTAAGGAAATAACGAATTTGAATGATATCTCTTAATAAATTTGTGTGGGCAGAGATTACACATTGAAAAAGTCAAAACCTTCCTGGAAGTAAATATTGAGATTTTTAAGAATTACTTTTACCATGTGTCTGGTAGCAATCTCTTCCCACAGAAATACATTTATGAAACTAAAATCATATCAAAAAATGATCAAATACACGATGAATTTTGCTTGCACAAAAGGACCGTGATGGTTATGAATAATGCCAGTCAGTTGTAGTAGAAGAAAACTATTCTGACATTTGCAGAAAGAGAGTCATTCATTGGGTTGCACAAAACCTATTCACGAGGTTTGGATAATTCTCATTACACAAAGGACCTGATGGAGGGCGAATTTCATGTCCCTGTTGCGTAGGCTGTAGATGAAGGGGTTTAAGACTGGTGTCACTACAGAGTATATGAATGTGACGATCTTATGCATAGCAACTGAGTTGTCAGATGTTGGACTTACGTACATCACCATTATTGTTCCATAGAACAGACACACCACAGCTAAGTGGGATCCACAGGTGGCGAAGGCCTTTTGCCGCCCAGTTGAAGAAGGAATCCGTAGCACAGCTCTNGTCAACAGTTCATATAACTTATTATTATATTACTGGAGATACTGTGGATGAAACCAAATATCCAGAAACATAAAACCCACAAAAGTTTGCAAAATTATATTATTATTAAAATGGTATTCCACCGGAGCTTGCATCCATTTGTAGATGTCATAGAAAAAAAACAGCGATGCCTAGACAGGGAGACAAATTACTTACCCTTCATAATAGGGCTAAGTGTGGACAAAGCTGGGAAGAAACACCAAGCTTGTATCTTCTCATTGATGGTTCTCTTTCCTTTACATAGAATCAAAACTCAGGGGCCCAACCCTGAGGAACCTATGAGACACAAAGTGAAACTGCTGAAACTCTCTTTCCTCCCTTCCGAAAGTGCTCAAAAGAAACGGTTATAGCACAGAGTATTTTTGTTGGACAATATGATAGGCAGTGAAAAGAAGCACAGCCCTATAAGCAGTCCTCAAGGTGTGGGCTCATTTGACGTAGTGATATTTTCACCAAGGGCTGTGTAAGAGACCTCAGTCACCCCTAGGCACCCAGATATTTCACTTATCTCATCCAGCAGAGAAAATTCAACAGGTGACTTTTGTATATTGGTTACTTTTGATGTAGAGTAGCTGAAAGAAATGGGAGTATGAACCTTATGAGGAGTTTTCAAAAACGGGGATGGGGATACAAGTGAATGATGGGGAAGGTTGTATTGTTGAGACTCTCAAGGGTACAATTAAAGTTTCATCTTAGAGATTATTGTGAAGTCTTCAATCTCCCCTTGGGCTGGTTTATGACTCCCTCAAGATTGCTTGGTGTAACATCCTTTCCTTACCCATAGTTTTCAGATAGTTTAGGTTAGATTGGCTTCCAGAACAATGGCAGGAATGTCTTAAAGACAATGGTGAGCTGTCTGTGCGAATTTTCAGAGAATGTCTTTCTGTTTTCAGGAAAAGTCTTTTTCACTGTGAAACACAGAGAATGTTCACAATGTACATTGTTTATACTCTAGGAGTGTGTTTTCTTCTCACACTTGCCATCTGTTAATTTTTGCTTCCAGTCCTTAGCTACTGATAGNTTTAAAGAATCAAGCACAAGTCAGAGGAAACAACACGATAATAGTTTTAACATATTGGAATCCACAGAAAAATTTTAACAAGATACTGTTAATTTTTTGACTCGTAAGAAAATTTTCTTGAAAAATAATTTTTGATAGATGTAGTGTAAATAGAATATTTATAGTACATACTAAACATAACCAAATAGAAAAAAACCCTTCTGTTCAGTGAGGTTATATTAAATAAGATAAATATATTTATAATGATGCAGCTATTATGGGCTCACTAAATTAGTAAAGAATAAAGTGAACTATAAACCTACTCATCTAGAAGCAAACATCACCATCCTATTGAGCTCTTAAGTCAAAGCAGCTTGTAGTCTTGTGGACAAGAAACCAAGAATAGAGGGAAACTGAAAGATGAGGAAAAGTTCTTTTATGTTTTTTAAACTAGGATGACTATGACTAGCTAAACTAACTAGCCTTGATCGTTTTGGTGAGACATCATGAAATAATGATTCCCCGCTATGGGAACTCTGTGCTTGCCAAACAAGAGACCTCTCCTCAACAAGACAAGAAAGCAGTGATGCAGACAGCAGCCACTGACCCCCAGAACACCAATAACAGTGACTTGAACTCAGATTCACAGACTTTGACTCAAAATCAAAATGCACCAGACTGAGGTTCATGTATGTGAACTGTAGACTATTCTATTTGACAGGAACAAACAAACAAACAAACAAACAAACAAACAAACAAACATACAAACACTCCTCACAGAAAAACTATTAGTCCACTGTAGGGATGGCATGGTAAATGAATTTCACAGATAATTTCCAAAATAACTATATGATGCAGTTCCTAATGTCTTGGCATAGAATTAGCCCCTGCTCGTTTGCAGAATGGAAAAGAATTTATGAGATTCTACAAGAGTAAGCAAAGAGTTATTGAAAGTCAAAGAGAGACAGTTCTGGCAAAGGGAAGTTTTACCAGGACAGAGCCCGATAGAGACAGTTGCGCGAATGAGAAGGAGTGCTGGAGTTTTGTATTTTTCATGCAGGGCGTAGAGTGCTTGTCAGCTTGCGGCAGGGGCTGCTGTTAAAATTGCCTTCTCCTGGAAACTGTCCTGTCCACATCTATGATGGGTGTTTGTTAGTGTGCAGGGGGTTGTTGTTGCGGTTGGGAAATGTTCTGTTGTCACCTATGATGGATGTAAGGTGCTTGTCAGGCTGCAGGTGCAGTGCTAGCCAGGGGAGTCAGAGCCAAGCATTTAATGTTTAAGTTTCTTCCTGTTAGCTTACTAGCTGGCTCCTGTTAACTCTTTGCCTGTCCCATCCTTCCAGCTCAGGGGCCCGCTCCTCTTAACACTTTACTTATCTCATCACCTAATATATTCACCATTAAACCCTATGTGAATCTTTGTCCTCATACGCACTGATTTTATTTTACCATTATTATTATTTATTATTATTATTATTATTATTATTACCTATGCTTTCTTCTATGCAATTTATTTTTTCAGGTCCCACATTTATATCTTTGAGTTAATTTTGGTACTTGATGACAGATAGCAGTCTAGTTTCATTCTTTTGCATGTGGCTTTCCAATTGTCCCAGTACCATAGTTAAAATGGCCATGTTACCCAAAGCAATATACAGATTTAATGCAAT